TCCTGTACGCCGGAGAAATCCGGCACAGATTTAATAATGTCCAAGGGAATATCGCATTTGGCGTTAGGATCGACGGATATTTTCTCGTATGTGACGATTTGCGGCGCCTCCACCTGCAAACTCTGTACTTGTGAAGCTAAAGCGGTTATTTGTGCTTGAAACTGATTTTGTTGTTGCGCTAAAGCTTGCCTGATGGCACCCTCAATGAGATTCTGAACTTGAGCCGGCTCCATTTTTTCAGTTACAATGGTATCTGCAGGAGTAGGATCTACTGAGCAATTGATTTCCCCCTCCCAGCTATCGTCACTATTATATTCGACTTTTATCTCCCTATAATTCCAACTCATTGGCTTATGGTTGGCACTTTTCAAACTTAGGCCGATCGAGAAAGATCGGCAGGTAACGCTGTTGGCAATAGTGGAAACTGGTGAATCTTGGGGTATGCAATATTTATTATAAAAAATTGTTAGGGGTATGCAGCAAAAAATATAATGCTGCCGAAAGTATGCAATAATTATTCGTTTAAGGTATGCAATGCTTTATTGACAAGGAACGGTGGTAAAAGTATGCAACAGTTTTTAGTGAAAGTATGCAATGATTTAAAGGAATGAAATGCTGGCAGAAGAGAGCAGCAATATTTACTTTACTTTACAAGTTTTTTAAAAAAAAAAAAAAAATCACACGTATCGGTACGTGGCGTTCGTGAATAATTTCTTCAAACTGAAATCACTTATGAACTTACATGGTATGAGTTCCTATTTATTGGTTGGGCGCCAGTTATCAATTAATGTATGTTCTGTGATGTAACACAGTGTTATCTTGGGTAAGTTGCGTTGATCCCGCGCTGCCCTTGATCCAAATATGTTCTCCTTGATCCAGTAATATTACTGAAGATTATGTTTTGAAGTTGGCTTCTATTGCTGGCCTTGGGCTCAGACAATAACGAAAGATATGTTTTATCGGCAATGCCGGAGCAGTATATTTATTTCCGCGACTTATGTGTTGCGCGCCTCATATAAAACTAAAAACTAGGGGACAAGCAAATTATACAAATACCCTAAGCCTCAATGCATCACGCCATCAAAGCATGGTCGGCAAGCCGACTCAGCATTCCATGCAGTGTCAGCTTACCGCTGCTGGCCGTTCTTAGCGCAGAGCGCTGAACTCAGTTCTGGCGCGTCAGCATTGTTAATACGAAGCTACTTAATTGCTAGGGCAATATATTTATGCTTAGTTGTTAACTTGTATACATTTGGTTTCAATTGTGGCAGCTTGCGGATACGTTATTCCTAGTGCTGTCCATAATTTTAGAGCTCTTCCCGCCGGATAGTCAACGCGGACTATTTTTTATTGTTTTATTGCGCTCTCGCTCCGCCCTTTATTTACACTAGACTTCCAGTTTTTAATACAATTTATAAATCAACATGCGGATCTGCGACAACAACGGCCACCATAAAGCGTATGGGGGCTTCTTTAAACGGGTAGCCGAGCCAACTTGTGGATCGGCCATTTAAATTTAAACGGAGCGTGATCAGACATGATCAGACAGTGATGTCGGACGACAATCCTATCAAGCGTAAATTAACCAATGTCGCTCACATATAAGGCTCATGAGGGCTCTTGGGCCAATTTAATTCAGAAGAAGCGGAAACTTGGCACCATACGAAAGAGGAGCATTTGCAAGTGGTCCCCCTACTTGCAAAAACGAAAAGGAGCTTCAACATCCGTCTATTTACATACATTTTTTAGTAAAGAGGAACACTTAAGCAAACACTTTCAGGAGCTTGTCAGCGATGAAAAACGATCGATAGTTTCCAAAATATCCCGTCGGTCTACCATAGCTGCATCGAACGGCATCAACGCAAGTAACGCATCATCATCGCGGCCTCTTGAAACAATATCTGCATTTTCTGTTGTCACATATTACCTTAGATTGTAGCCTTGTATATGATGACGAATGCATGTTCAGTGGAGTATGCGCTGGATCCAGGTTTTCTTCGTCGCTAATACTACAATTGTTCTCGTACGTTCTTTTCATTATTAAAAATAGTTCCTCACGTACTGTTTTGAAGGGAGAATCTTAGAAGCCGTATGACCAACTTCGAGTCGTGGCAGGGGAAGGGTAATATAGAAGAAGAAAGAAATAGAAAAAAAGATTTTCTCAAGCGTCCTTAGTGGTGTTATGGCCACCCCATATTGGGATACCGTGGTCGTATGCCCGACCCTACAATGGTCACCAGGCCATGGTTTTTGAAGCACAATAGCGTTAATCTTTTAGCGTCGGCATACTTCGGTGCGAAATGATTTCCGGATTAAAGCGGTAGCTTTTTTAAGATTCATTATATAACAAAAATTCATGATACAAATAAAACAAGTGGTTCTTGTCGGGAGCTCCCGACAAGGGAATACCCTACTATTCCAACACCAAATACAGTTGTTGCATTGATGTTTTCGCTAGCTGCCCATCCAATTGCGCAGTTACATATAACTTTGTTTTTTTCTCAACCGATCTTAATGAATTTTTCTACAGTATATCTGATTGTAGCATAGAATTTTTGTGTGTTCTCAAAAAGTCAAAGTCATCGACGATGATAGCTTGAGATATTTGACGCTGACAGTGGTAAGTAATTGATTGATTTAGTCGAAGTAAATGTGTCCCGTTAACGGACACTACTACCATGAGAGGGACGCCATACATTGCACGCTCCTTCGCTCTTCGCATGCTTTACACAAAATATGCATGTTCTTGCCACATTCTTGTTGTTCTTATTCTTGTTGATTTCTGGTTGTCGAAAGCGCGTGCAAAAAGTTCGTCTAGGGTCGGTTTTTGGTGAATATATAATTTACAGTAGTTTTATAGTTGCCATTGATTCGTAAGCCCCCCAATTCTTTCATTAGCGCATGTGTTGTAGATGCCTATTGTGAGTAGTCAACTAGTTTGAAAACGCCAACGTCAATTTTTGTGTCGATCTCTTTGGCAAAAGCAATACGCAGCACGAATGCTACATCTCTTGTGAAAAAGGGTTTCGCGTCCGGCTTTGGGTGTACCTTAACAGCAGGTCATTTTCTCTTACTCTTAGCCAATTCTGTTGCTTGTACTCCTATTGTTTTCATCGCACTTCTTTTTATCATGATTATGTCCAGAATTATGTACTTGGTATTGAAAGCATTTTTTCTTAGGATTCCAATAAAATCCGTTTCTTTTCCAAATATGTAGATCCTTTGTCGCCCACACAGTGTGTCCAGATATCCTTCTATTACATAAAAATTTAGATTACGTGAAGTCTTTCCATGAGTCATATTGACAACTGCCCGTCCACAGCAGTTGATCTTGCTGCATAGTTCCATGTGTCTAGTGCCAATGGTATATGCGTTTGATCAATCTTCATTGTTGAGACGTTTTGCTACCCAAGAACTTGATGTATTAGATGATTATATAAATTATAACTTATCAGTGTCATCTTGGACTTACTTACCTTGCTTATTTGCCCTACTTGCAATTTCTGCGCAAGTATTGGCCTCCACACCCTTAGCACTAGCTATGTATGTTGTTTCAGGAAGGCTTGTTGAAGGCTGCTTCCTGATTAGCGGGAATTCCGGTTTGCGTGTAAACTCTGTATCTGCAGCTTTGTTGTCATTACCTGCTTAAGCTGACCGTGGTTACAGATCCCTGGAATTTTCATATCGTATGCCTCTGCAAAGGTTGATGAGTGTTTCGCGATCACCTCATCGCAAGTGATACGATTTTGTAGCCGAAAAGGCTTTGTTCAGTCAACGTTCTGTCTGGAAACGAGTCGTACTTGTAAATTGATGCTGCATGTTTCCAGCGTAGAATAAACGCTGCTAGTGACTGCTTATTTGTGTAAATATTTCGTTAGCCATAGAAGTAATTAATTATCACTTCCTTAATCTCGCTGAATTGTTGTCTCGGACCAGCTCCCATATGCACAAATAATAATGGTGGTGGTCAACATCAGCAATTTTACTTAGTTGACCCACTTGTTGCACTGCTGACTTAATGGCGAGTGTCAGTGAACTGATGACGTCTCGTGAATGACGTTGTGTGCTCTTAATTTATCTTTATTTAACTTCGGACATTTTACAATTATTGTAATAAGTTTTTTTTAAATAAGAGTAATAAATAGATCGTTATGCAATAGGGCGATTACTTAAATGCTAAGAACTTATATAATACATACGGACAGACGAGTATGGCTAGATCGTTTTGGCTATAGATGTTAATCAAGAATATATATACTCTATGGGGTTGGAGATTCTTTCTTCAGTCTGTACAACACATTTGTATAAGCATTTTTGCAAAACTTATACCCTTTATAACCATTTTCAATGCTTTAAACCAGATTCGAGTGCCATGTTTATATCTTTCGTTTATTAATTTCTAAGATCGCCAAGACTTATAAGTATTTATAAAGTTCTCTGTGAGCTTTACTTATTATCCAAGAAGGGTAGGCTTCGCCAAAAGTGTTAAACACTTCTGAAATCAAAATAAGTATATCATTAATATCAAGATCAACTTTATGAAACCGTTTTTCGCGAATTCAGCACTGTTGGGGGTGAAATTTCTTAAATCGCTGTAACATGTATTTATTAAGGAAGGTGACACTCTGCGAAAATGAATAAACTCGAAACTGGAAACGAAAATGTTTTTGATGTCGTACGGTTAGCAAAATTATTTACAAATCGGTTTTGATGTGTTGTTTACTAAAGCTTTCTAGCTCTAAAGGTTTGGACTGTGCGTTGATAACCAATCAATCAATCATATGTAAAAAAGATAGTTGACTGCTTGTAAGCGCAGCTTGGTGCTGTGTAGAGGGTGACAGGGGACTAAGGGATACTCTATTAACTGTTTTCAGTCGTATTCTGGAGAATTGTAGAGAGCACAACCTGTGTGGGGTAAATGTAAAGTCAGTGGGGGATCTGACGTGACTTTTTCACAAAGTAACGCTTTTTTGTTTATCTTTATCTCTTCTCCAATGCAGAGCCTATCACGGAGGTCATTGGCGGGCCCGAGCTACACATCAATAAAGGTTCCACCATTAATTTAACTTGCATTGTAAGATTTGCACCGGAACCACCCCCAACCGTTATCTGGTCGCACAATCGGCAGGTGAGTTTCAATCCTGAGTTATATCTAGTTCCACCTAGTTTCGGGAAAAATGCACTACAGCTAGAATTAGTATAGTAAAACAATTATGTATTCAAACAATATAAACGTGGAATTTATGAAAAATGCTCATTATTCTGAATCATCACAGCTACTTGAACCTTTGGGAAATATTCTTTCATTCAACGTTGACTTATAAGTCTTTTCTCCTCTAATACTCGAATGTCCTAAGATACAAATTACACATGGGTAATTTATTTGTATGTGTATCCTGTGCCTACTGAAAGGTAGCGGTCGGAGTATTATCCAAAGTCGAACTTACCGGTAAGAAGCAAAATGCTCACAAACTAAAATTCAATTATATGGCTACAAGGACAACAAATCCGGCGTATTGATTTATATCTCTTATGTTACAAAAAGTAGAGTCACCAAATTGGACACGTAGTTCTAGAATGGTATAAACAGATCTATTATCTTTTATTTTAAAGCTTACGAAAACCTTCCGCAAGTAAATAATTGGAACTGCCCACAAATGAATGCCATAGTTTGCAAGTATTTTTTTGTTCTATAGCAATCGGTTAAGAAACACAGAAATTCTTAAATAAAACGTGTGCTGATATTGACACATGTTTGCGGCAGCTATCGCAAATGCAAGGGTTTCTGTATACACACATATTCCTGCCTATCTCTACTCTATAATCTACGTTTTAATTGTGAATGTAATGTATTCTGTGCTGTGTACAGTAGTATTGTGCAATAGAATATTCCTATATTCTCATAGTTTTATAGCTATGTGGAGGGGGTGTGGAGGTGGTGGTAGCTGTAAAATGTAGCTGTAAAAGATGCTTGATATATATAAGTTAACTGATACCATCCGCGGTGACGCAATGACCACGCGATATCAGCAGCTAAGTACTGACAAAACATAAATAACGGTTAGCATTGCAGCGGTCAGGGCTAGCACTCGTGCTTATGGTAACCATCTGATTTGCACGAGACGCAAGCTCAGCTTTATAACTATCAGCGGCTTCCGGCAACACAAAGTTACTACTTATTTTTGGAATTTAGTCATTAATTGACATTAATATTGTCTGATTGTGCCGAACCTCTTATCGTCTTATTGTTACGCCTATCGGCCAACACCTACAACAAGGGGAAGCAACTTATTTGGTTCCAAACTGATCAGCCATATTGTTGATAAACTAGCGGGTGTGGGCCTTGCCCATGGCACGTATGTTATAAAATCAATGTTTTCAAAAAGCTTAACAAACAACATTCATACAACCGCTTTCCTCCCAAATCGCTGAAAAACGTATTCATTATATTCCAATGTAGAGCTTTGAAAATAAGTTTGATGCAAATCGGACACGACTTAAAAGTAGCAAAAAAAATCCTTAAAGTGAACTTTTCACCGTAGGAGTTTAGATTTTGTAAACAAAGGTGTGACACGTCTTAAATGTTTTTTATGTAGACCCCCCGAAATGGGCTATGCGTTGAAAACCAAGTAGTCCATTAGTCAGTCAGGAAAAATAGTTTTTTATATAGAGATTAATAATATAAATTGGTAGTGAAGCAAACAAACAGAAAATAAATAAAAAACGCTTCAATTAAGTGGTCCGTATAATCTGAACACGCGCAAACAGTGCGTGCGGAACCCGATTTGATAGTCGATTTCTGTAGCCCATTAAAACTTAGGGCTGTTAAAAATTGCGACAGTGAATGAAAGAGCATATTGAAAAGTTTTGGACACCGGGAAGAAAATGAAGAAAACCCAGATAAAATGAACGCAGAAGCGGGGCACTACGAACAAGCCAGCAACAGCCTGAGAGTGGAATTTAAGCAACAGATAATAAAGGTAATAGGTGAGCTTATAGGCACCCACATAACGCTGCCGGAGGCTTATATCTATGATGACGACTACTTAGACCAAGAATTGAGTCAATTACCATGCTGTTGGTAGAATTCAATAGAGACGCGTATGAATGTGTGTGTTTACATGTATACAGAATTTCTTCACATTTTCCCTAGCTGCCGCAAACACGAAGCTACCCAAAACACAGGTTCTTTGTGTTTCTTAACCGATCTTGATGCAATTTTCAGAAGAGCTTATTGTGCTATAGAATATTCGTATATTCTTAAAAAGACAATTGCTTTAAAATTGTAGTTTAAGTTGGTGGATTGTTCAAATGTATTTAATTTATTGCTACGTATTGGCTTTAAACAATTTTATATGGGTTCAGGGTATTAATTAAAAAGTTCCCTCAATCGGGAATATTAGAATATTCGCGTATTCCCAAAATGACAATTGCGTTTAAATTGTGCCTTATATTGATGGGCTATAGAAATCGGAGTTTTTTGTTGATAGTTATGTGGTGATAGTGGGTGGTGGCGATAGGTATAAAATAAAAGATGACCGAGATATACATACTTTCTATTATTCTAGAAGCTACATGTCAAGTTGTCTTAAGAGCAAGATTTTAATATCAATTTGGATTGATAATCTGAAAATTAATGAACACGAGCTACCAAAGGAGAACCTTGTCCTTTTAGTGCCTTGCAATGTAACTTCTGAAGTTGACAGGTTCCTACAGTTCAATATTATTATTAAGTCAAGAATATAATGTTATCAATAAAAAGATTAAAACCGCTTTCGTGTTGAAGTGCAAACAAAATTGAGAATATTTGTTATGAACAGAAGTGTATGTATATATCTGAATGTCTACAAGCTACCAAGCTGGTCGTCGATGGTGTCCCATTTCTATATGTGTCGCAACATCAACATCCTGTCTATAACTGATGTTGCGTTTTTGGGTTGATGTAGCAACAAACTGCTACAATGTTGTGTAGGCACTTTTAGTCAAGTACAGGGTGCCTTACTTAGAGTCGACCACACAGTGAAGATTGGTTATGTTGGCTTGTCTCATGGAGGGTTGGGGTGAGCCTTACCATCTCGAGAGGAGCTGAGATGGTAACCCGCGCACTAGGAGGACCTACGATCCAAATTTCAAGTCTCGAGATCTTATAAGATTTGATATCCTTCGTTCATATGCACTTAATGGGGTCGGAGATGCTTCCATATGCCTGTTACAAAGATTTGCACAAATACATTTTACCTCTTTTACTAATTTTCAATGGGTTAAGGGTATAAAAATGACGATGTTACCAAACGAATTTGTGATCAACTACAAGGTTTGCGCTGTTGTGTCTTTCATGGTTCACGACCGGATCACCGACATTTCCCACAGTGTATACATTCCGATACTGGTATGGCTCCAGAACGCTAGTGCTTTAGAATATATTAAAATAGCTGTGGCCCAATTAACAAATTCGAATAATAGAGAGACTAAAGTAAAGTAAATTCACAGACACAAGAGCAAACAAAATATTCCAAGACCCCAACAAGTTAATAGATACTGGTCACCTGTTTGAAGTCTTATTATGAAGGAATCAAATGTTGATTACCGAGATCCATAATTTAATGTTCACTATCAGTCTTGCTATTTTGAAATTTGAATTTTGGTTGATCTGTCCTTTGTCACTAGCATTAAAGTCGTAGCAACTATTATGGTTTTACAATCCAACGGTAAAATACACTTTGTTATTACTTTATTGATACTCTAACATTAGGTTACCCTGGTGAAGAGTCACCTTATATCCATTAGCGCACAAGGGTAGAATGCTGCAGCTATCGAATAACATCGTGGCTGAGTACTTATCTGAAATATTAGCGGTCACAACCGCATCGGCATTATCAATGGTAATAATTTCGTAAACAGGGACAACATACAAAGTCGAAATCCCAGAATAGTAATATAATATATAATAATAATACAGCAAAATCCTGTGTCTACCATTCCTACAACATCTGAAGGCTGATGCATCGGCATTATCAATGGTAATAATTTCGTAAACAGGGACAATATACAAAGTCGAGTTATATTATATTATATTTATTTATTAATGGTCGACAAAACGAGTGTCTTCCTCATTAGTCAAAAGGTTGTACAATATAAGTATATTCTAAAAGCCTAGTTAAAGGATACAATTTTCTAAATAGCATCACCGACCGATGGAGGTGTTTTATTTGCCAGACCGGCCAGCTGTGCCCCTTTTCACAGCTAATTTTGTCAGTGACGCTATTAGAGCCTACATCTAAGCAGAAGGTTGTAAGTAGGAAAAAAGTGATCTCAAGTGAAATTAAAAATAATCTTAAATTGCTAAATTAATAAAGAAAATACAATAAATAGGAAAAAAGAAAGTAAGAAAATTGTTAATAAAGTAAAGCAATGTAAGTTAGATAAAGAGTGTTAAGTGGATAGGACAAAGAGAAAAGTATTGGGAAATCACCGACACGGTGGGGGAAAATTTTTCAGCCTGTCCGGCTAGCTATGCCCCTGCTCATAGCTGGGAATGGTCAGCGACTTCCCGAAGGTATCCTGAAAGCAACGATTTTATTAGGGGTAGAGACAGTTCGGTAGAGAAAACGTGATGCAAACTATTATAATTTTTACATAGCACGCGAAAAGAATTGTGCATAGCGTAATCAGTTGTGCACGTAGATAGTAATAAGGGGCGATAATTTCTGGTTGGTCTAGCCGGAACAGAGAATTGAAGACGCCCTAGCAGAAAAGGAGAATCAATGTCGCCAATAATCAACTTATGTAGAAGGACAACACCGAGAATTGTCCTACGGTTGATTAACGACGGAAGGTTGAGAAGAAGCAGTCTGCTGGAGTAGGACGGCAACCGAAGATTAGGGTCCCAATTTAAACCTCGTAAGGCAAAAAGCAGAAATTGCTTCTGAACAGATTCAATACGATCCTGGCTGTTGATATACTGTGGAGACCAGATGCAAGAGCAGTATTCAAGGATAGGGCGAACAAGAGAGATGTACAGAAGTTTTGTTATAAAAGGATCGTTAAACTCTTTAGACCATCGTTTAATGAATCCAAGTACACCTTTTGCCTCATTAACAATGGTATCTATATGAAGATTGAAACAGA